TTGGGATGGCATAGGCATTAGTCACTTTTGTTAAATAATCTATCATGAAGAAGATATTTTACATCGGTTGCACACAATTCGGAGTTTTGGAAACATATTTTTACATTTTCTTTGTTTTTCACCGAAAAGAACCTTTCTTGAACCTTCTGTAATGTCGTCGTAATCCCAAAATGTCCACCCGGTGCACCGTCATGTAATTCACGTAATATTTTAGACACTATTTTTAAGTACAATCAGCTTTAGATTAAATTCATGCCGTCATTTTTAAAGGATCTATAAAGATCATCTTTTAGTACTAAGCAATTCGATTGGATCCAAATACGCTTTAACTTCCGATATACATGTATTTTCCAAGTTGGTCTCTCACCTTTACGCTTATAATCTAAATCACTTTTTAGATATTTTCATCGACATCTTGTAGCTGTTCAGGTTGTCATTGATCATTTGTGACGTTAGTTGTCACACGTCGAGAAGTCGTTCATCCAATTTTGAAGAGTGGCTAGCATTCGCATTGAATGGCCTTCGTGAACAGATATCATTTGAATGGATTTTTCCTGCTTTGTGCTCGATGTTATGACTGCGTTCTTGTAATCGCTCTAATTGACAATGCAATCATTCTGTAAACTTTACACTCTGTACATAAGATCCATACTTGAATACGCTGGACCAACGTGGTATACTGATTTGGTTCGAGACAAGACTTTGTTGGAAAACGTTCAAAGAAAAGCCACTCGAATTTCGTTGGGACCAAGAAGATTCTTATGCAGAAAGACTTAGTATGGCCAACCTAACTTCTTTTGAACTTCGCCGACAACGTGGAGACTTAATTACAACATTTAAAATACTAAAATTCAATTTTGGAAACCTCGATGAAATGTTTATCACAAATCAAGATGAACGCCTCAGAAGTCATCAGTATAAACTAAAAGAAAATTTTTCTACCAGATCAACACAGAACTTTCTTCCAAGTAGAGTTTTTGAGTGCTGGAATAACCTTAACGATAACATTGTCTCTGTTCCCTCCACAAACTCGTTCAAAAACAGACTTGACCGTTTTATATTATAGTTCAAATATTGTTTTCTTTTAAACCAAAAAATTGTAATTTTATTTCTTTTATTTGTAATTTTGTTGTTTAATAGTAGGTTATTAATGAAATTTCTTTGTTTTTGGGCATAATAGGGACTTAATTCCTCTGCCCTCGCTTATGTATAATAATAATAATAATTTTCTGACTGCTGTATTTGTCCTTGCAAGTACTACGAATGTGGCTTACTTCAACATCTTGGATAATTTTCCGCTGCACTGCACTGTCACTACAGTGATCAGTGAACAGTGTAGTAGTGTCTGGGGGCTCGGGAGACTGAGACCTCGGAAGCCCTGAGGAAGGCATCAGAGGGGATACCGACAGCTCGGCAAAATGGATATCGACGCGGTTCAACCCGGAAGACTGGTGAATTTGATATTAATTTTAGTAATAATCTTAATCTTAGCTCTAAGTTTCATTGTACTAACCGCGGAAATCTTTCCGAACACATCAATAACGCGATTTAATAAATGCGAATTTTTGCATTTCACGAAAAATAACTGATTTTTTCATGGGCGCTCCCGCGCCATTTGATTTATCCGCCAATAGTATTAAACATTAAAAAATTATCTAAAAAATAAACTTTGTACTTAGTGCGACAATAAATTTTAAGCTTTGCGTAATATCTGAAATTTATGTAGATAAATAAACAAATTGCCATTTTTTGTCGGACTACAATTTGGGTACAATTATATTTGTCGGACACATATTCCATTTTGTATGTAAATCTTTCACAAATCTAATTTTTTTTGTCCGACAGTTATTAATAAATTTTTACAGACTCCTGGAAAAGCCGATTTTCATTGTCGGACGAAAAAATTGGCAAGTACATTTTGTCGGACAATGTAAAAATAGTATTTTTCACGTTATTTTTGAACGATATAGAGAAAATCAGCTTGTTATTACTAAATTTTTTGAAGTTGTTTTTTTGGAATGTTTAGTTAGGTAGACTCCTTTATGGAACCAAAATTTTGTCGGACAAGATTTTTTTCGGATATTTCACGAAGCTAAAACTAAAAGCACTCTCTTAATAATCAAGCTATAGAAGTAAGTTCTAAAAAATAATAAATATCGCTAGATAAACACATGTTCTCAATACATATAGATTATCTGATGATGACAAATCAAAGAGTTGTGGCATAAAACAGCAGCAATATAACCCAGTGCAGTCATTGCCGTCTCGAGCTTCCTAAAATTGATTAAAGAAGTGGGTTTGTTCCAATATCTTTTTTCAAGAGTTTTGAACACAGCAATTGATAAATTAGTGAAGGAGTCCGGTATATAAAATACAAGAGTAAATATAATTATCTGCAGCTTTATTATCACCAACAGGGAATAAAATCAAAATTGCATTGTAACTAATAAATCTCACACATTACAAAAAGGTAGACTAAGGAACATAAAACAAGAAATGATGCGACTTAAGATCGACATATTGGGAATAAGTGACACAAGATGCCTCGACTCCGACGAACTAAGTACAACCAATGGTCGACGTTTCTACTCTAGTAGTACCGACAGCCAACATCGGTATGGAGTAGCAATTATTTCAGTCATGGGTGTTCAGTTCAGTATTAGTCATGGGTGATTTTAACGCCAAAGTTGTAGAAGGAAGATGTGAGTCTACTGTAGGACCATATCTTCGAAATGAGAGAGGAGAACGCCTTATAGAATTCTGCCTAGAGCATAATCTTGCGGTAATAAATAGTTTCTTTAAACTGCCTAAACGACGCCTTTACACTTAAACATTGCTAGCTGACAAGGTCGATAAAATCGTTAGAAACCAAATTGACTATATTTTAATAACACAGATATCGAAACGCAATACAATCGGTGAAAGCGTACTCAGGTGCAGACGTGGCGTCGATCCACAGTCCTCTTGTAGCAAAATTCTAACTTCATTTAAAAAAGATACAAAAGTGATAAACTAAACATACAAAAATTAAAATCAGAAGACGTCAAAGAAAAACTTAAACAAAAAAATTAATTCAAACCTAGAATCCACACCGGAATCAATTTATGGTGATATAGAACAACAGTGACAATTCTTTAAAAATGCAATTATCGAACAAAGTCGCAGAGAACTCACAACAACCAGATGCAAGAAAGGAGATTGGATGACAGAAGAAATCTTGGAAATGATGGAGGACAGAAGAGGGCAAAAGGGTATCAACATAACTCAGTATCAACAGCTGCATAATCAAATTAGAAGAAAAATAAGAGAAGCTAAAGAGACTTATTTCGCTGGAAAATGCCAAGAAATAGAAGACTTACAAAACAAATTTGATAACTTCAATCTCCATAAGAAAGTTACAGAATTAGCTGGGGTAGTAACACAAAAAACCTCAAGTAGACTATTGGACAAACAAGGAAACGTTTTAGTGGAGACGGAACAAAAATTAGGAAGATGGAAAAAATATATACAAATTCCATGACCAAAGACAGGAAAATATATACGAATATAATCAGAGTAAAAACGAGGGACCCAAAATAACAAAGTCAGAAGTTATGCATGCAGTAAAGTCCATGAAAAATAATAAAGCTGCTGGTCCAGATGAAGTACCAAGTGAATTGCTCAAACAATGAAAAAAACATAGATCTTTTAGTCCAACTACTGAACACAATCTATTCCACAGGAATCATTCCACGTGAAATGCTGACATCAACCTTCATTTGTCTACCAAAGAATGTAGTGATTATCGAATGATCAGTCTAATGTCACATACCTTAAAAACTCTGGTAAAAATCATCCATAATAGAATAAACGCTAAGCTGGAGATTAGTGATTCCCAGTTTGGATTTCAGAATGGAGGGGGAACTATTTTCTTTTAACGTGCTGATTCAAAGATGTTTGGATGTTAATCGAGATCTTTATGTATGCTTTATAAACTACAGCAAGTCATTCGATAAAGTAAAACATGACCGACTTATAGAAGTACTTAAAAACAAGAATCTGGATGTGAGGGATGTAACATTGATATAGAGAGAGTAAAAAGATACACTTACTTGGGAACGGTAATCACAGAAAATAACGATTATACTGCAGATGTTAAAATGAAAAAGATTTTATGCAGCCAAGGTCTGACATTGGCTCTCAGAATAAGGCTAATCAAATGCTATGTACACAGTGTACTTTACTATGGAGCTGAATCATGGACATTAAACCGGAATACAATAAATTGACTTAACGCATTTGAAATGTGGACATTTAGAAAATTGTTAAGGATCCATGTGTAGATAGAATCACGAATGCAGAAGTGTTAATGAGAATAGGCAGAGAGAGGAAAATAGAAAATACAATAAAAGAAAGGAAATTGCAATATCTCAGACATGTAATGAGAGGCAAAAGATTCAACATCTTGAGAATCATAATTCAAGGAAAAATAGAGGGTGGGAGAAGCTTAGGAAGAAGACACATTTCCTGGTTGAAGAACCTGAGAGAGTGGTTTGGTTGCAGCTCAAGGCAATTGTTCAGACCAGCTGCCTCGAAGGTCAGAATAGCCATGATGATTGCCAACCTTCGTCGCGGAGATGGCACTTAAAGAAGAAAATTACAAAAAGAAAGAAGTCTACCACTCTTCAGAAGAAACGAACCTGTTAGTAAAAAACTTGAGTATAGACACCATTTTCTTATTGGATTATATGTACCTACATAATGTAAATATATCCCAAAATTTCTCAATTTTTTTCCTATATTAAATATGTGATCATTACAGTTTATTTTTAAGTACAGTGATTATACTTATATTATTATATAAATTTTAAATAAAACCAAAGTATAAGCCATCTATTTATTGTTATTATTTAAGCTGATAATAATTTTAATAAATGACCATAATTAAATATATATATAAAACAAACATAATGTACAAATATTACAATTATTGTTATTTACCAATAATTAAGATATACAAGACAATAAACACTGAACAATAGAAATTATATTAGTGCTGAAAAATCAATTTAAATGTAATGTGAAACAATACATCATAATAAGACATACAAATAATTCATTTAATTGCATCATCTCTAAAATAAATAAATTATATATAATTATTATGTTGGTTATCTCAGTAAGGCAAGCAGAGATGATTTGTGTTTTAGGATTTCATTAAATTCAGGAAATCATTAAATGAAGGCGAAAGATTAAACAGATAATAGTTGGGTAAATGTGCATTTAACTGCAATCAAGTTTTGAATTAGGCTGTAACTAAAAATGTATCAGTATGGTGATCCTATTTGCACAGTTCTTAAAAATATTGAGAACTGTTTAGGTTGTATATGCTTCTCCAAACTTTAATTTAATGCTAATGAAAATGTTAAATACCAAAAATGTTCTGAAGTACAGATATACAAAATTTTAAAAATATTATTCTCATCAGTGTTTTTAACATTACAATATTCTGTAGATATATTTATGTATAATGCAAACTGTTACATTTCTTTATAAGCTGTCATACAATCAGCATTTAGAGAAGATAATATTTAATTAACAGATATATTTGTCTTTACAAATTAACTAACCACTGTCTAAATTATCTAACATAAAATTAATCACAGGCTTTGATGCTCACATAAGAAGCTGGTGCAAATTCAACATAATTAGTTAAAAACGTCACAAAATTACTTCTTTTTAATTTTTGGTGATGTAGATTGAAAAACACTGGATGCGGACATTAAATTCTCTATATATTGACCCAACACTTGATTTTCAGAACGTAGCTTCAAATTTTCTTCCTTAACTGAATCTACCCTGGTTGAAAGATCATCCAATGTGTTTTGTAATTCGAGTACTTGAGAAATTAGTCGAGCTTTTTCTTCTTGTTCATCAGGGCTGGAATCTGATTCTAAACTATTGTGTTGGGGACTAGAACTTCCATTTGTAAATGTTGATTGAATAGAATCCATACTTCTACCATGTATCATACTAGAAGAGTTTCCTTCAGATATTGAGTTTTGTTCTGGTTCATCATTGATAATCACTACAAAATATATTATTTACAAAACATATTAACAAAAATTATAAAACTTACCTTGAGGATCATCGTCAGCCAAAGGTATATTGTTAATATCATCTTGTAGTTTTATTGAAGACATTATTATGTCTTTGTACGTATATTTAATTTTAAACAATAATTATCTTATAATATAAAGGAATTCCTTTCAATTAAATCAACCTTATATTTTCAAGAAACGTCAGATGTTAATATATCTGTCATCCATAAAACGGTGTGAAGTTAGTAACAAAATATAACATTTTGAATTGTGTCAATACCGTCATGGGGGTAGTTTGCATTTTTTTTGAAGGGTTCTAATTGCATATAGATAGACCACCCAAAATACAATAGTTATAAGTTATCTTGAATAATTTTTTTTTCAATATTAACAAAAGCAACGAAAACAAATTTATTTATTAAAATAATTTATATATTACAAAAAATTATCAACTTAATAGAAGACATGGGGAAAAATAATTACTATAAAACAAACTACAAGAACATTGAAACATGGCTAATATATCACAAAGCCCAATGGACAATTATTATATAAATCATATATTAATATACCAGAAGAGAGATAAGCTCTTAACCGACATCACAGATGCTGTTTGGTAAATTCTTCTTTATTAGCTCTAATAAAGCTCTAATACTTCTTGACATAATTCAAATTTGACGTCATTCTAATCATTCGATGGAATTGAGAATTGGAATTTTCTTGGAAGATTTCCTAATATTTAAGCTAGTTGGTCATATAGATGAATATTCGAGCTTTCATGGTTAAATACTGTCGTTTTCATAATATAGATTCTTAAGTCATATTGCCTTTTTAGATCCGCGGATTTGATTAAATTTGTGAAGTATCCATCAGTAGACTTTAATATATTAAGTTTTTCTTTAAGTTTCTTTTCGAACCAGATTCAGGGTCAACATACATAGATTCGGGATCCCATGTTGGATTATTATTACCATTGTTACGCCTACCTACCTCTAATCTTCTTATATTGCAGTTGTGATTTTATTTAATTATTTAATTTACCTAACTAATATATCATGTTGATGTTCATTATCATCGTATATTAGTTAAATAAATATAGTAGAGAAAGTTAGTCTTCATTTTGATATTTTATTTGTTGAAAATAGCAGTCTAATAACTTAACGGACGATATTTTTGTTTGTATAAATATGTTTGAGGGTTAAGATAATCAATATTTTCCTTTAATAACACCCTTCATTTATTATATTTAATTATCAGTTATTAATACTAGTACAGTTCACATTCCTTTTGTCGTCAAAGACATCATAAATAAAAAATGTGCCATTACCACGACCTGTACCTACGAATTTTAGGTCTTATGTCGGACGGACGCCTTCCCGTTGCGCTAAATAGATGTAAAATGTCGGTCTGTAGCTAAATTTATCCAAGTCACTACTAATGATGTTACTAACTTCAATTTGGTAAACATCTAAACCTCTTACGTAATACATATTACAGGATGCGGCACACTTAATCGGGCTTTCTTTTTAATTAATTGTATTTACATTATCTTTATTTTGATAATGTAAAAACCAGGGCCGGTGTCAGAAAATTACCATTTACAGAAAGTGCCATCACACTGTGTTTAATATACTTAGTACATATACCTAATCTGATATTTATTAACTAATAACGTGGGAAATTAACTCATCCATAAAGGATACTACATCTCATTAGAGAGGTTTGGAATTTTTCCAGTATTTTCAGTTTTGGCCAACTGAAAGATACTGTATATATACAAGCTACATTCTGAGTTTGGTTTTATACTTTCAGGTGTGATTTTGCTGTTTCCACTACTTTTCTTCATTTTCTCTCTCTTTGCTTGTCCTTCCTATATTTTTTCTTATTTCCATACTCCTTAAGTCTTCTTTCACTTGTTGTCTCCATCTCAGCTTAAGTACCTACATCTTTGGTTCTTTTACCTGGTGGTATCCATTTCGACGCCGCCGAAAAATTGAAAGCTATTGTATTTCCTAATATTTGGTAAAAGTATAATTAAGTACGGGCCACTCTGTTTCATTTTAAAAGTCTTTTCTTTCTTGTATGATTTTAGAAGGAGGCAATAATGACTACACGGAATCTTTTTGATCTTGTATATCGTCGGCCTAATTAGCAAATCACATAAGTCCACTTTTTGTCGAAATTGACATTGTGCTACCATCTGGTAGAGAATAAAAAAATCTTTTAGTTAAAGAATATCCCACAAGTCCCAAGAAATCTGCAATGGAGTAAAATTGAAAATAATACTTCACACAAGTCCAACGTTAGTTGTAACAGATAGGAAAATCACATAACTCCTGGTATTTACGCGGTAAACACACGTGCGTGCTAAAGGTCTTGTTAAGTTGTTCAATTTACGCTGAAAATTGTACATTAAGAACTAATTGTTGTTATTCACCATTTCAAGTAAGTTATTGTGCTAATATTATCAATATTTTATAAAAATTAATCAATAAATTATCTGATAATTCGGCTTAAAAGGTAGCATTGGGACTTATGTGATTTTCTCTTTTTATGTTTGGTCATACAATGTGAATCCCTGATGGACTTGTGTGTTTATATATTATTTTATGATGTCAAATTGAAGTTAGATGTTAATAAAATAATTATACTTTTTTTGTATTTTGTATGCAATAATGTAAGTAGTACGTTAATGCATAAAATTAATCTATTTAGCTGAGAATTCAGACACATGAAGATAAAAATTTTCATCTTTTGCCGAAATCAATAAGTATTTCATAAGTAATTCTTTTGTTGGTTGCAGAATGTCAAGCAGAACTCAGAAGATGCTTAGTATGGCTAAAATTCAACACAACAAATCTTTAAATCCCGATTTGAACTTGGAAATACCTGTTAACTCAGAAGAAAATAAAAACTACGAACTACATGTTTTAGAAACAAACACGTTTCAAGAAGAAATAATCGTTCAGACAAATGAAACAAGTGCTGTTGCTATTGACATTAACACGGAAATCGTACTGGAAGAAAATTTGAACAAATTTGAAAGAACATTACTGCATAGTCCAGTAACTAATTATGAGACAATAAATAATACGGATGGAGAGATAATTTGAGAACAGAACTTTTGTCAGAAACTAATGATACAACAGAAGAGATTTTGCATGAAGAAGAGACCGCCGAACCAATTGTCAAAAAAAAGACGCAAATGCAGACATGTTGACAAAAATGATTGAAAACGAGAGGAGAATAAAAGGAAGAGAGAGTTGGGCTCCGAATTTTTTGGGAAGAAGAAAGAAGGTAATAAATGGACATATGACTTGAAGAGACCCAGAAAGTCCTTGGCAGAGACATGTAATTGCAAGTTTGACCCAAACACTTCCAAGTTAAAATGTCGTGCCTTTTCTGAAGAGCACCGTAATAACATTTTTAATTCATTTTGGAAAAAAACTTGGGATGAAAAGAAGTTAACCGTTATTCTACTAACACAACGAGTAAACACTTCGAGGGCTAGAAATAGAAAGAATGAGGAGACATTTCAAAGAGCATGTTCTTATAATTATTATCTTGAAAAGAATGGATTAAAATTAAGAGTTTGCAAAAAATTATTTTCAAACACATTAGGCTTGAAACCTTGGACAATACATAATTGGTTAAAAGCTTACCACATAAGTACAGAAAATAATGAGGATATCAAAAAAACAATTAATAAAAATACGACAGGATTGGAAAAAACAAGAAAATGTTCTCAGCGACAACACTTGCAAGATTTTTTTAAATCGCTTGCAAAAGTTGAATCCCATTATTGCAGAAGTTCATCCTCAAAACAGTATCTTGAACCAATTTGGAAATCTAAATCAGAATTGTACACATTGTATAAAGAAACATGGTGTTCTAAATTTAATGAATCTCCAATGTCAATAGCTTACTTTTGTCATATGTTTGAAGATTTGAATCTTAGTCTGTTTAAACCAAAAAAAGACGAGTGCGCCGACTGCATTTCATTTAAAAGTAAAAACATTACCGAAGAAGAGTATCACCAATACATACAAAAGAAAGATGAAGCGAGACATGAGAAGGAATTGGATAAGCAATCTAATAATAGCGTCTTTACGATGGACTTGCAGTCGGTGCTTCTATGCCCTAAATCAAATGCTGGTTCACTTTACTTTAAAACCAAACTTATTGTGCATAATTTTACCGTGTATGATTTGAAGACGAAAGCTAGTTACTGTAACGTCTGGCATAAATGCGAGGGAGAATTAAGTGCACAATCATTTGCTTCTATAATTAGCACTTTTATAATAAATCACCTTGCAGAAACAGAAAATAATGGTGAAGATGACAATAACTGCTTAATTTTTTGGAGCGACGGATGTGGCTGCCAAAATAGGAATGCAACCATTGCAAATGCCTTACTTAATTTAGCTGTGCTTAGGAAAATTACAATAATTCAGAAGTACCTCGAACGAGGTCATACTCAAATGGAATGCGATTCTATGCATTTCGTTATTGAGCGCAAGTTACGAAGTAGAAACATAAATGTACCGGCAGATTATGTTGATGATTGTAGAACAGCTAGACTACATCCCAAAAATTATAACGTAGAGTACCTTACAAATAGCTTTTTCAAAAATTTTTTTGGTACATTTTGTCAATTCAATTAGACCTGGGCGCAAAGCTGGAGACCCAAGGGTTAATGATGTCCGGGCTTATAGGTACAATTCAAACGGTACCATAGATTTCAAACTGCGACATGTTGCCGACTGGAAAGCTCTTCCATCAAGATATAACAAAGTTAAAGCTACTGAACTGCAAGAACTTCCTCGTCTATATAGCGCTCCTTTAAAAATCAAAAGAGAGAAATTTGACCACTTAATGTCTTTAAAAAATATTTTACCCAAAGACTACCACCATTTTTACGATCAGTTGCCACATGAATAATACGAAAATAAAATATTAAGTACACTAAATTTTAATTTGTTCAAAAAATCTTTTTTAAGTAAAAAAGTTATCAATATGATGTAATAATTGTTTAAACTATGTATTTTTATTAAGTCACACAAGTCCAACAAAAATAAGAATAAGCGCAGAAAAATCAATAAGTCCATTTATATAATTATCATTAACTGATATCATGTTTTAGACAAATATATATCTACTAATATCTAACCTGTAGTAGATTTATCATCGATATTTAGAACAGAAACTTACAGTAT